TGATCCTGAGTTGTTTTTGCTACTTCTGAGTTCTACCTGATAGGGAATATGGTCTGAATTCTATGTGGCCACTGCAATGAATTATCCAACCCAGCAGAGAAGTAGAGTGCTGTAGGAGGGATGACTAATGTCAGAATTGGTAAAGAACTTAGTGAAAGGACTGACTTCTGCCTCATAGGAATCGGCCTTGGGCTACTGAACTTGATTCTCCTTCCCCCTTGTGAAGTTAGAGGAAGTCAGATACCTCCCCATACCATTCTCACATTAATTACTTTAGAAGTAGATTGTTAAGTCCTCCTTCCTAGTCTGTATTACCCTGGAAACTGCTGAAACAGGTCTACCATGACTGAATACAGTATTTCAAAACCTATATGACTTGATGGCACATAATAACAACAATAAAATCCTAAACTTCAACTCTGTCAGTCACAGGATAATATCCACACCCCTATAAGCAAGACCAGTTAATACAACTATTACTCAAATTTACCCTTTAACTACTAATGACAAAGATGAAAAAATGGAAGATTTTTACCAATTTCTGCAATCTGAAATTGACCAAACATGCAATCAAGATGTTTGGCAATTACTAGTGATTGGAAGGTTAAAGTTGGAAACAAAAAAGGACCAGTAGCTGCAAAATATGGCCTTGGTAAAAGAACTGAGGTCAGAGATCACATGACAGAATTCTGCAAGACCAACAACTTATACATTGCAAATATATTTTTTCAACAACATAAATGGTGACTGTGGTAGTTAAGGTTGTGTGCCAACTTGGATGGGCCTAGGTTGTGAATGGCTTGGTGGATGGAGGTAGTTATTCCCCATGATGAGACTGTAATCACCTCCATGGTGGAATCTACTGTGGCTACCTAAGCAGCTGAAAGAAAGCTGCCACTGGAGTGTGGCCTGCTTCCAGTATGTACGGCACGCCTTTGAGAAAGTCTCCAGCTTTTCGGCACATTTGGATCCAGCATTTGGCTGAGTCTTCATCTCCAGTTCCTGGACTTGAACCAGTGGCCTGCTGTGTTGCCTGCTGATTTTGGAATTATTCTTGGACTTGATCAATGGTCTGCCATGTTGCCTGATTTTGGGATTGTGCCATTTTATCAGCTGATGTTGGGTTCATCAGTCAGCAGCTGCATGAGTCAGAAGACGCTTCTAACTTGCTCCATTGGGCCTGGAATAAGAGGCAAGAGCTGAGGCCCAAGGTTGAGGGGCCTTTACCTATCTCCTAAAGCCAGAACTCTGGATTCAGACTTCTAGCCTCCTGAACTATAAAAGAACAAATTCCTTTTTGTTAAAGCATCTACTTGTGGTATTTCTGTTATAACAGCACTAGAGAACTAACTCTATAACTCACTCTATACCTGAACCTCATTGGGTAGAATACATAGGAATTAAATTAACTATGTCTGTGGAAAGAGATGATAAAGGAGTGCTATATCATCAGTCAGAACAAGGTCAAGGGCTGATTGTGGAACAGACCATCAATTGCTCATATGCAAAGTGAGGATGAAGCTGAAGAAAATTAAAACAAGTCCATAAGAGCCAAAATACAACCTTCAGTATATCCCATCTGAATTTACAAACTATCTCAAGAATAATGACCAAAGACCAGATGAGTTGTAGGATGACATGAAGAACATAATACATGAAGAAAGCAAAATTAAAGAGACAAGAAAGACAGACCAAAATGGGTGTCAGAAAAGACTCTGAAACTTGTTCCTGAACGTTAAGTAGCTAAAGCAAACAGAAGAAATTATGAAATAAAAATAAAAGAGCTGAGAAGATTTCAAAGGGTATCTCAAGAAAACAAAGTATTATAATGGAATATGCAAAGACCTAGAGTTAGAAAGCCAAAAGGGAAGAACACACTTAGCATTTTTCCAGCTGAAAGAAGTGAAGAAATAACCCAAGCCTCAAGTTGCAATATTTATAGATGAATTCTATAGGCAATATATTGAATGACACAGGATGCATCTGAAAAAGATGGAAAGAATACAGTTACTGTATCAGAAAGAACTGGTTCAACCATTTCAGGAGGTAATAGCACATGATCAAGAACCAATGGTACTAAAAAACAAAGTCCAAGCTGCACTGAAGGCATTGGCGAAAAACAAGGCTCCAAGAACTGATGGAATACCAATTGAGATGGTTGAACAAATGGCTGCAACACAAGAAGGGCTCACTCCTCTATGCCAAGAAATTTGGAAGACAGCTCCTAGCCAATCACCTAAGAGAGATCCATCCATATTTGTGGCCATGCCAAAGAAAGGCAATCCAACAGAATATGGAAATTATCACACAATATTAGCATCAGAAGCAAGTAAAATTTTGCTGATGATAATTCAAAAATGGCTACAGTAGTACATCAATAGGGAACTGCCAGAAACTTAATCTGGATTTAGAACAGGATGTGAAATGAGGGATATCACTGTTTATATCCAATAGATCTTGGCTGAAAGCAGAGAATACCAGAAAGATGTTAGTGTTTTACTATGTAAAGGCACTGCCAGAGTGGATCATAACAAATTATAGATGATACTGCAAAGAATAGGAATTCTAGAACACGTCATTGTGCTCATGTGGAATCTGTACTTAGACCAAAAGGTAGCTGTTGGAACAGAACAAAGGAATACCGCATAGTTTAAAATCAGAAAGGTGTGTGTCAGTCTTGGATCTTTTCACCATTACTTACTCAATTTGTATTGCAAATAATCTGAGAAGCTGGACTATATGAAGAACACATCACCAGGATTGGAGGAAGACTCATTAACAGCCTGCAATATGCACATGACACAACCTTTCTTGCTGACAGTGAAGACTTGAATCACTTACTGATGATCAAAGATTACAGCTTCAGTATGGACATCTCAACATAAAGAAACAAATATCCTCTCAGCTGAACCAATAAGCAACATCATGATAAATGGAGAAAAGACTCATATTGTCAGGGCTTTCATTTTACTTGGATCCACAATCAAAGCCCATGGAAGTAGCAGTCAAGGAATCAAGTGATGTACTACATTAGGCAAATCTGCTGCAAAAGACCTCTTCAAGCTGTCAAAGAGCTAAGACATTACTTTGAGGACTAAAGTGCACCTGACTTAAGCCATGGTATTTTCAATTGCCTCATATGCATGGGAAAACTGGACAGCAAGTAAGAAAGACTTTTAAAAAGAAGAATTGATGCATTCTAATTATGGCAAAAAACAGTGAATATACCATGGACTGTCATAAGAACAAAAAATCTATCTTGGAAGAAGTACAGCCAGAAAGCTCCTTACAAATGAGGATGGTAATACTCTGTCTAATGTACTTTGGACATTATATGAGGAAAGACCAGTCCCTGGAGAAGAACATCATGCTTAGTATTAGTAAAGCAGAGGGAAAGTCAGTGGCAGGGGTGGGGGGTGCGGGGAGACCTCAAGAAGACTGACACAGTGGCTACCAACAATGGGCTCAAACACAGCAAAGACTGTGAGGATGGTGCAAGGACCAGGTAGTGATTCATTCTGTTGTACGTGGGGTCCCTATGAGTCAGAACTGACTCAGCTGCACCTGACAGCAACCAGTGACTGACAGCATTTGAAACTGGTGGCAGTTTCCAGCATCACAGCAACACGCAAGCCACCAGAGCACGGAAAACGGGAGCTGGGGTTATTAAGATTAATGAGTGAAAACAAAGTACTCAAAACTATGTCTATGCGTAAAAGCTTGATCAATGTTACCTTTAGCTATAATTATCTTAAATCTCGTAAGGTATTAAACCTAAACACTTTCAAGGAAATGATGCCGACCTGAACCAATCCTCACAAATGTAGCAATTACCCCATACTCTTCAGTTGTCTCTTTAATCCAGGTGTTTAAGGTAGAAAATTAAAGAAAATCATTTAAGAATAAAGGTGAAAAGAACATTTCGAAACTATTTAGAAACTATAAAAGCTATTTAGTAGCCTAATTTCTTTATTTCACAAATGAAGCTACCGCGCTAGCCTAAGTCATAAATTTCTCCAGAGCCACCGATGGTGGCCGACTCCTTCCTAACAAAATCTTGTAAGATTTTTGGGCCTGCAATTTGTCAGTCTTAACTGAGAAGTCTGAATATTCATCACCAACTTTGTGGCACGTGATGGTGGTTAGGAAGCCAAGGATCCTTGTTCTCTCCCAACCTAGTCCTCAAAGAGTCAAAATTGTGAGAGAATTTTTCTGACAATAAAAATCACGGTGATAACCTATCACGGATATATGCCTCACAGTTCCTAGAACGTTTTTCCACATTTTCTCTCATTTTTCAAGGAGAAAGAATATCCAAACATTCAGAATTAAGAGTATCTGATATTCTTTACATTTCAACTCTTGGCCTAAAAGCTAAGTTTAGGATTACTGTTTTCTTATAGTCACTCCATACCACTACCGTAACTGCCGTATTCCTTGTTTGGTATCACAATTTGAGTAAGCGGGTCTCAAGAGTTCGCCAAAATCCTAGCGGAAGACACCAAACAATGCAGCCAGGGTTTTGGGCGAACCGTTCCTCCTCTAAACTGTCACCACTAACAGTATCTCAAAAGGTGCAGCGTCGCACCACCTCAGCGCCGTTCCGCCGGCCACCTAGAAGCTTCCGCTAGAGAAGCTTCCTCTGCAGGGAAGTAATTAATGGCTGCCTCAAGCGCCGCTTAAGGAAGCTGCCTCGACGTAGCCAGGCGGCCCGGCTCCTCCCCGTGCCTGGGCGGGCCCCCGGGGAAGCCCCCTTCGCCCCACCCCGGCTAGGGCCCGCCCACAGCATCCCCGGCCTCCTTCCTGTGGGAAGTGCGGCTACCTTCGCGTCCCCCACCCTCTCCGCTCCGCCTGGCAGCCGCTCCGAAGTCCAACGCAGGCTGGGCGTCTGGAAGAAACGGAGACCCTCAAACCCACGAGTACGCAAACAGGTTCTGTTGGCGGGCCTTGCCCGGACAACAAGCTGCCGGTCCGCCCCCTCGCGGCAGGCAAAATCTCACCTCGCCACCAGTACGTCTTGGACAAGTCATGCCAGGTCTGATGCCGGGTGTGATGAGTGCCGCCCGGGCCCAGGTGCGCCGCCTCGATGAGCCCCAGGCGCCGCTCGGGCTGCAGTACCACCTCCAGCTCCGCGAAGGTCTTACGGTGCCGCTGCCGCCGCTGATAGTACAGGGTTCCGCCGCGCACCACGTAGCAGGCCGCCGCCTTGCGGATCTTACGCTTGACATTGCCCTCGGTGCCGGGAGCGTATGGCTCGCGATCGTTTGTCAGGTATCGTAGGATGGCTCGGTAGCTTTCCTCGCTTGACATCGCGGATGGCGGCTCCCTAAGGGCGCCTGTCAGTGGCTGGGGAAGAAGACAGCGCGCTAGCTCCGGGGGAATGCACAGTAGCAGCGGCGGGCACTATCGAAGAAATGACTGCGCCTTTGGTGAGCCTTTTTCGACGGCGCCCGCAGCGCGAAGGAAGAACGGAAGAGTTGGTAACCAAGGGGAACTGCACTTCTCCAGCGCGCGGGATCCGCTGGCGACTGACAAAATGGCTGCTGCACCACCGGAAGTGACGCGAATCAAAGCAGTGGGTGAGGGGACTGAGCCCTGATTGGAGCGCACTCGCTTTTTGGCTATCTGGAACCGAGTGCGTGACGTTAGGACTGCGGGCGGACATTTTGGAAGCTGGTAGACCCTTACTGGGAGATCGAAGTATCTTTGACCAGACATCTTAAGTCCTGGCAGTTCCCCTCCGGTCTTTTCCCACGCTCTCCGAGGAGCCACGTGTAGGAGCTGGTGGGCAGCTGTTATCCCACCGGAGACCTTAAAAGGGTGCAGGGTTCCCCGCACGCCCCCTACCCGCCCCAGCCTAGTTTCTGAGACACTCGACTTACTGAAAATATCGGAATTTGAGGCTACTGGTAGAATCTTAACAACTTACAAACTATAACTCACTTGGTAATAGTTTATTTAAATTAAACCTTCAACTTCTAGCTCCAAACTAACCGTGGACTTTTCTGTATTGATCAATTTATATAGTGAAAATTGCTACATGTTAAGAGCAATCGTGTTGGAAAGGGGTAGGTAGTAGCACAATTTCCTTAAAGGTTCATTTGTTTGTATTTCCACACAAGCTTGGGGGAAAAAGGTCTTCAATATACACCCAGCAAACACTACAGAGGCATGAATCCTAGTTGACTTAAATTGTTTATATCAAGGTGCAGTGTAGAGCCTAATTTACCCTTCTCTTATCACTCCCCGGCAACTGTTGTTACCTGAACCTTTGCACTGCTTTCCAGCCCCAGAATACTAGGTGACAGGCCAAGAATAGTTAAACCAGCAACAGCAAACACATTTACCCGTCTTCCACCCTCCTCTCCCCTTAGTCTGCAGTCGCTGGTTGTTTCTTTGGCCCCTATAAAGTTCAGAGGCAGCCGGTGAACGTACTGGAGTCAAAAGCAGGCTGGTGGTGCACGCACACTCTGGTATTTGGTGGTGGGGGCAGATAAGGCAGCATCCCTTTAAGACTAATTGTAGGGAAGTGAGCTTTCAGTACCAGAGGAAAAGACAAGACTATCTAGTCATACACAAACCTAATCTTGTTATGTACTATGGAATTGGTTCTGATTAATAGCAACCCTATGTCCAACAGAAACTGGTCCTGCACCATCCCCACAGTCCTTGCCACATTTGAGTCCACTATTGAAGCCACTGTGTCAATCCATCTGAGGGTCTTCCTCTTCAGGAACTAGGCCCTTCTGACAACACGACCAAAGTACCAGATGAAGGCTGGACATTCACCTTCCATGGAGCATTTCAACTATATTTCCTCCAAGACAATTTGTTAAGTTTTTCCATGGTATAGTTCTTCTGCAGCTTTATTCATTGTTCAGCTCTCACATGAATAGGAAGCTACTGAAAATACCATGGCTTGGGTCATGGGAACCTTAGTCTTCAAAGTGCCATCTTTGCTCTTTAACACTTTTGAAAGGTCATTTGTTTACGTGCCCAAAGCAATTTGATTTCTTAACTGCTGCATCCATAGGCACTGGGGATCCAAGTAAATGCAGTCACTGCCAACTTCAGTCTTTTCTGCATTTATCATACTGCTGACCTATTTTGGGCCATTCAATCAGCAGTTTACAGCTGTGAGAGGTAGGAGGAATCAGCTGAAGCACCACTCCCACCTAAATGAAATGGGAGACCCAGAACTGGGGTACAGATCCTTCAAGAACCTGGTCTGTATGCTAGCAGTTCCACTACTGTGAAACTGATTCCTTTAAAAACTGAGTATATTAGAAAAGAGATTTAAATAAAATTTAGAATACAGGGTAAGATGTAGAAATGAGTCATGAAAGTAGCTACTACTTTGTTATGTGCTGTCGAGTTGGCCCCACTCATAGCAACCCCTCCCTTGGGTTTCCGAGGTGGTATCACTACAGAAGTAGATTACCCAACCTTCCTTCCGAGGTTTTAAAAAGTAAAATCACCTGTTCAGTTTGTGCGGAAACATGTAAACACCCAGAAGGCCACTTTTCTCTGCTGTGCCTTTGCGTCAATATGGAGATGTTTTAATAAAAGACTTTCCAGATTTGTAAAAAATTATATGAGTACAACAAAATTCACCTAAACAAAGCTCAATTTGCTGCACTAGAACAAGAGATAATTAACACGTAACTCCAGCTCCTGGGATACAGACTACCCTAATTAGAACTGGCAATTCTATTTTATTAAAAGTCAAAATTTAGACCAGAAATGCAGTGCTTTCAGGGGACATTTTGTATTCAGAACTGATTGCCCATAGTCCTGCACTAGGTAATTTAGTTTAAGCTGTGCTTGGTCATAGCTTAAATATGACATTTTCAGAAAATTATAAAAGGTTACCGCCCTAAGTAAAATCTTAAAATTTATGAACAAGTCTACTATATCTTGCTGTTTAAAAATTCTTGTTTTTATCTTGATCCCAAAGGGGCTATTTTATTATCTCCAATACCTGAAACAATGCCAAAATCTAACATGCATTAAAATGTAAAAAAAAATTAATTTCATCACCTTGGATAGAATGGGGGACAGAGAAAAGATTGCTGATGTTGACTTGACCTTCACCTAGTACTCCTATGTGTGAAAACATGTTTGTCAACTTACATAAGGTTTCAACACAATTCTTTACACACCTACCTGATGGTAGAGGACAGACATTAGAATACAGATAATATGGTAGGTTCCCTGCAAATCAATATAACTTCTCCACTAGAACATTAAAAATAATAGTACAGTATAACCGTTGAGGCCTACAACTCAAGGAAACTACCTTGTTTTTCTGAGTCTCACCAGTTTTCCACCTTTGACAGGGTGCAGAGTGCTAACAGATGATGTTCATAACTCTTTTTTAGGTTCAGGTGTCTAAAGACACCTTTTAATTGCTGTCTGTTAACAGAAAGCAATTGAGTTATCCTTCTCTGACAGGTTTCCACCTAACACAGGTTCCAGCTTTAGCAAATTGTAATGCAGTACACTCCAAACAGGGAATATGGTTTGTTCACTGTAGTATCCTCGCAGCTTGGCACAGCTTCATCTATAATAAAGCCCATCTACCTCTGCAGAAGGCCAAGTTTGTCCTTTACATAAATTAAGATCACTTTCTCTTATGTTTTATGTACATATATGAGATTTTTAAAATGTACATACATAATTTAACGTACCTCTTAAACATCAGCTAGCAACTCAAGAGCTTTTGGCAATGTTAACTATGGCTCTGTCAAACACTTGGCGTAGAAAACTACTCTAGCAGTAGTCAATATAGCTCTTTACTCAATGAGCAGTGCTTTAAGAAACCAAGTTTTAAGCACCTTTTGCCCAGCCATCAGCTAATGTTAAGAAAGATACTAAGAACAGGCATGGTACAAACATGTTATCAAAACAAAAATAATTGTTTCTCTGCCTATTAATTTGGATTTACCAAATAGTTCCAATTCATGAAAAAAGTAAACCATTTAACAATAATTCATTACTCTCTGTACAGAAAAATATCCATCTTTTAATAATCAACCTCAGTTATGCACCACCACCTTCATACTTATAGCCATGTAATCAAAGAGAGTGTAAGGTGCCCTTTATCTCAGCTGAGCAAAACTAACCTTCACCATATAAATCTTATTTACACCATTCTGCTTAATCTCTCTCCAATTAAAAAATGATTGTTTCAAGACCTATAAAATAAACATCTGGACAGAACGCCTCCCCCTACTGCTTAGCCTATAGCTTTTAAAACACAAGACTATCGACTAACAGAGGCATTTTATTCTTGCAAAACAAACTCAAAAAAATTCTTCAGCTATTACCATGCAGACCCAACATGCCTGTTTTCAGAGTAAAAAGACACCACAATTCAGAGTTATAGTTGCATCTTTATTCAAAAGCCTTATCTGCCAGCTTAGCGTTTTCCACCAACTCGGGGAGCAGAAACTTTGACAGGTTTCACAATCTTTTGCTTAGGTGCTGCCTTTGTAGGAGCCTGTAAAAAGATAGCATGATTTTATGTGAAATTATTCCATGTATTTTTCCATTTACTACCTTCTCATGTCCAGATTCTGTTACTTACTCTACACTGCTTTTTCATTTTATGGCATTCATAATTATGTACAAATGTTAAAAGCTCACCTTTATAATGAAAGACAGACTGAGGCAATGCCACAGATAGGAGTGAGGATACACACACACACATACACACAGTTGCTGAAATCTGAGTAAGTTCTATAATTTTATTGTATAGGACCAGTGCTAATTTTCTAGTTTTAAAAACCATAGTACTGTTATCTGAATTGTTAATACTAAGAAAAGCTAAGTGAAGGCTATATGTAAAGTGTATTATTCTCAAAATTTTTCTGTAAATCCAAAATTACTTCAAATTAAAGTTTAAAAAGCAAAAGCCACCTTTATTTTCACCCTTTCCAAATTCCTGCCCAACAATAACAAACTCATCTGGCACTGGCAAATTGGGATCTCTTTTAGGCACCTGAACCTAAAAAACAGTTATGAACATCATCTCCTGTTGGCACCCTGCACTAAATTTCTTAAACACTTGGAATTTATCAAAATTTAGATTAAATTTTCCTATTGTTTAATTTACAAAATCTAAGAAAATCCCACAATTAATTTACCTTAGCAGCAGCCATTGCTGTCTTTTTAGATGCTTGTTTAGCCTTTTTTGCTTCCTTGGCAGCCCTGAGGGATTTAAAAACAAAAACTTAAGGGAAAGCATATTATTCCTTAATAAGGGTTCAGCTTACTAAGGAGGTCCTAGAGTGTTTGGGGAAAATAGAACATATTCCTTACTGATCACTATTTATTTGTAGACTAAATTCAAAAGGTCAATGAATTTCATTACCCTTCAAGTCAGCTTAACATACAGTAGAAATTGTACAGCAGCTTTACTACTAATTTTGCAAATAGAATTTCAACACAACAAATCATTAGACTTTATTATACTATCTTGTATTATACCTATTTCTCACTTACTATCTTTTACTAGACATTTTGAATTTATGACAATAAAAAGATCTATGATCTATTTTGCGTGTTAACAAACTTAGTAATGAATGCAGCAAGCAACAGTAACTGGCTGTGATGGTTAAAGTATGTGTCACCTCAGCTAGACCATGATCCTTAGTGGTTTGGCAGTTATATAATGACATAGTCATATTCCATTTTCACATTTAACAACCTGGTTTTTGGAACCTAACCATGTGGGTGAGTGAGGAGTGAGTATATTAAGTAAAAATATTTATGACCAACAATCTGTATACAGATTCAATTATTAAAACACAGAAACATCAGATTATGCTCCTATGCCTAAGAACCCCAATAGTATAACCTAAAATCCATCCAATACCTAAAATGCTCTTGAAACATTCCTAACCTGATAGCCTGTTCTCGCTGAGCCTTTCTAACTTCAGGTTTCTGATTTCTCTTGGCCATTATATCAGCAAGAGATGCACCAGTGATGGCTCTCTGGAATTTGACTGCACGGCGGGTTCTTTTCTTTTGAATTTCTTCCTACAAAACAAACAAACAAAAAAAAAAACAGGACACACACTTAAGGCTTTAGCTTCAAGAATTTGGGGGAGATGGAAAATTGAATCTGTTCAGATTCATATTCAACATTAAATATGTAGATTTATGCATTAATTAAACCACTGATTACAAATTAGGCCACTTTTCACTACTTCATTAAAGAAAAATAAAACCTCTAAGAATGATTAGTAATTTCACTGACTTGATAGTACCTTTAAAACTGGTTTTAATAAGAATCTACTTCTAAGAATTTACTTATGGTAAACCCATTAAACCTCAACTCACCTACTGTAACACTCAAAGGACATCACTGGGAGAAACACAAGAACACGGTTTATGATAGGAAAACTGCTAAGTATAAGGGAACACCTAGGATTCAATTCAAATACTGCCTGCAGATACTACACTGGAAACCTACACTACAGTGCCTATACAAAAAAAAAAAAAAAAAAAAAAGTCTCTAGACGTTGCCAAATATCCTCTGGGGAGCAAATTTACCCAGATTGAAAACTACTTCATTAGTTCATTAACAGAAAAAAGTCCTTCATAAAAGGGATTAATTTTGGCCTGTCACATTCACTTTATGAAAATTTTCTCTGGCAAATGTCTTTGTATTAAAATTCACTGACACATTATGTGACATCATTAAGAGCCCTAAGAGGTTTAATGAATTTGGGGGATTATTGAGAGAAGTCTTAGGAGAGTGTTATAGGTTGAATTGTGTTCCCTAAGAAGTTCTCATAAGGTGTAGCATTGGGAAAGTCAACTGCAAAGGAACTGTTTCAAGTGCTGAGGAGCAAGGATATCTC